TTTATTGGAGATAGGAGTCTCACGGTCTCTCCTGCCTGGGCTGGCTTTGAACCGCGATCCTCAGATCTCAGCCTCCTGAGTAGCTAGGATTACAGGCATGAGCCACCAGCGCCCGGCCTTATGGTATGTAATTTATAACTCAACTTTTTTCAAAAACACCTTTAAGCCAATGTAAATGAAAATGTATCATCAAATTTGTGTGACAGGAAATGAGTACAGAGTAGGAAATTTATAGCAGTAAGTGTTCATAAATACAAAAGTAGGCAAGTCTGAAATTAATAATCTAATCTCCCAGTTCAAAACTAGAAAGATAGCAAAATAAACCCAAAACAAGCGAAGGAAAAATAAAAATAGAAACAAATCAGTAACACTGAAAACCAAAAGTATTCTTAAAAGATTAACAATGGCGAGGGGCATGGAACAAGTTTTGTAAAGCATCTGTTTGGCAAGCATGAGGCCCTGAATGTAATCCCCCAAACTACCCCCCTCAAAAAAATACATAACTGACCAATCTCTAGCAAAACTGACACCAATAAAAGAGACCACAATTAACTAATCTTAGGAATGAAACAGAAGGTATCACTGGAGACCAAGAAAACACCAAAGGAGTAATAAGGAAGTACTATATAGCCATAAAAGTTAAGGAAATTTTTTTTACAGCACTGGGGGTTGAACTTAGGGGTTAGAGGTGGCTACACAGGTGCTCTACTGCTAAGCCATACCTTCCAACCCTTTTTTCTATTGAAGAGAGCCTCACTTTTGCCTGGTCAGACAACTAGGCCACAATCTTCCTATTTTATGCTGCCTTGCCATAACTGGGATGAAAGAAATGTGCCACCACACATTCCTTCTGCTAAGAAGTCTAAAGAATTTTTTGCCTGGGTTGGTCTGCATCTGTGATCCTCCTCATCTCAGACTCCCATTTACCTAGGATGACAGGTACAACACCACCAACACATCTTCTACCTGCCGGTTAAGAAGAAGTCTTAGAACCTTTTGACCAGGCTAGCCTTGAACTTCCAACCACAACCTCTGAAGTAGCTAGAATTGTAGGCCAGGAGCCATTGGCATCCTGCTTAAAGAAAAAAAAATTGAGATAGGATATCACAGTGTTGCCCTGCCTGGTGGGTCTACAATTCAAAAACTCAAGTAATCCTTTTACCTGGCCTCATGAAGACATGGAACTGCAGGTGTGTGTCACCATATCCAGTTTATATAGATAAAATAGGACTATGGATTTAACTATGGTAAAATATGTGCCAAGTATGTGTGAGACCCTAGGTTCAATATCAAGCACTGAAAAATTAGATAAAACAGAACAATTCTTTCGAAAGCATAGGCTGCCATATCCAGTATGAAATAGGTAACATTAGCCTAAAAAATTAATTAAATGTCATTTTTAAACTTCTCCCAAAGAAAATTTTTAGATCCATGTGATTTCACTAACAGTTTTTTTTTTAAATGAGGGACTCACTATATTTTCAAGGCTGGCCTTGAACTTGTACTCCTCCTTGCCTCCCAAATAGCTGGGATTACAAGTGTGTACCAGTGCCCAGTTTCACTAGAAAATTTGGCTAAACATTTCAAAAAAATTAACATTAACTCAGATTAAATCAAAGAACACCTAAAAATATGGAGAGAAATGCTGTGCTTATGACAGACTTGTGAACACAGTAAAAATGTCAACATTCTCAAGACAACTTTTTTTTCCAAAATATATATACTCCACACTAGACATATGAATTCTAGGAATGAAGCTCAAGCACATATTAAGAAAAAAAATGCTTCATCCTTACTCTAGGTCAGCTTCCCATCATTATCCCTAGAATTGTTTGGCTATTGAGTCTAGTTCTTGATCTGTACAACCATCTTCCTTAAGATCCCATGCTGCCCAATAGACACCATATGAATTTACATGAGATCTAGTTTTTAGCTTTCAGCTGACATGAGATACCTACATAAATCCTACAGAGGTACATGATGCCTAGGAGTGGTAGAGTGGGGCTCAAGTGGTAGAGTGCCTGTCTAATAGGCTTCAGGATCTGAATTCAAACCTCATTAACACAAAAATAAAAACTAAAAAATTATGGGAAGAAGTTGTCTGTAGTGCCATGAATTCCTTTCTTTCTTTCTTTCTTTCTACCTTCCCAAGTCTCCCCACCCCCAGCATAGCCCAGGAAGACCTGTAGGAATGAAAAGTGTTTGTCCTTGCTTCACACAACATTTGTAGCACTTTTCGACTTGGTCGCCAAAGAACATCTCATTCTGATTAGAGGAGCTGCTCCAGCACTCAAAGAGAGTCAGATTAACCTTTGTTGGGCGGATCAGGTAGAAGATCTTCTCACCCTAAAATGAAAAGAAACTTAAGTGCCCAAAATACCAAGGGTTTAAAGAGAAGTTATTCAGCAGGGCTAGAAAAGGCCTATTCTCTTTCCCATGCTCCATTATCCATGTCATTCTTTCTTAAACCTATAATCAGTTTTATGATTTTAATCCCTTTGTACAACTAGTTAATAATAAAAAATAAAAATAATCATTTTTATGTGAGTTTAGAAAACTTCAGTAGGTTTTTCTGCACTGGCCCTTTTATATTTCCATAAATTTGACAAAAGCAATTTGGAAAAGGACATTTCTAACAAAATTGTTCATGTTCGGACAAATGCATACCATATGCTACTATTTTAGATACACTGACAAATAAAAAATGGTCCCTATAGATGAGCAGATCAATAATATAGCCCTAGGAAAATGTAAGGCCACATTACTGATGAAGAAAATTGAATTTGCTTTTAAATGTCATTTACAGTGTGTTCCTTCTCACACCTGAAATCAAAGCTAATAAAGTTTAAAAGTTCAGTAATCGCCCAAGGATTTCTAGAAGATTATATGTTAGGTGATTATCTGTTAGAAGAACATTTTATTTTCTAATTGTGTTTTCACTGGATAATCATCAGACAGATAATTTGAAAAAAAGAAACAAAAATCCACTAGCACGATACCTTCTTAGCTTGATGGTTTAGTCAATATTTCACAACAATAAATGCCAACATAGAAAATAAACATGGTCCCTCTGTACAGTATTTTCACAATAAAAAAAAAGAAAATAAACAACATGGACTAGAGGCACTTGCTCAAGTGGCAGGGCAACTTGCATAGGTAAGCACAAATCTGAGTTCAAGCTCCAGCCCTTCCTTACCCCTCAAAAAGAAAACAAAAGCACTAGAAATATTTGCTATATAATTGAAGAGATTTGAGACCTTTTTTTTGGGGGGGAAGGGAGGTGGTTCTGAGCCTTGAATTCAGGGCCTAATCTCTGTCCCTGAGCCTCTCTGTGTTCAAGGACAGCACTCTACCACTTGAGCCACAGCACCACTTCTGCCTTTTTCTGTTTATGTGGTACTGAAGAATCGAACCTAGGGCTTCATGCATGCTAGGCAAGCACTAAGCCACATTCCCAGCCCAGATATGACAGCTTTATAGATTAGTTAATAATATTAGATCAATGTTGTCTTCTTGATTTTGATAACAATATTACATTTATAGAAAAGATTATCTTTTTTTCTTCTTTGTTGGTCATGGGCTTGAACTCTGGGCCTGAGTGCTGTCCCTCAGCTCTTCAGCTCAAGGCTAGTGCTCTACCACTTGAGCCACAGCACCACTTCCAGTTTTCTGGTGATTAATTGGAGTCTCATGAACTATCCTGCCTGGACTGGCTTTGAACCATGATCCTCAGATGTCAGCCTATTGAGTAGCTAGGATTACAGGTGTGAGCCACTAGCGCCTGGCAGAAAAGAATATCTTTGTTTTTAAGAACTATACAATGTCTGAGAAAAGCAGAAAAGGTCAGATAAGTTGATGTTAGGTGAAATGAACCCCAAGATAAGTATTCAAATGTTTTCTTTCATGCGATTGTTTCTAACATATTTATAAGATGATTTCTTTGTTGCTTTGTATATCCCTCCCCCACGGTATAACCCCTGCTTTCATTGTATTTGATGTTGGTATAATTTGTGGAGGGGAAGGGCAAAAACAAATCATTTAAATAGGGATACAAGTGGACCCACTGCAACAATGAGATATACAAGTTGTTAACGAACTTTACAACTTTGGCGGCGGGGGGGGGGGGGGGGGGGGGAGTGGGAAGTGGAAACAAAGGAGGAGGCAACAATGCTTGATAAGAAATGTACTCATTACCTTGCCCATGTAATTGTAACCCCTCTGTATGGTATTTTCACAATAAAAAGGAAAAAAAAGAACTATGCAATGAATTACTAGAAATAAGGAGATACTCTTGAAATCATTCTCAAAGGTTTTAGAAAAATAACTATTTACTTTTGTTTACTTTAGAGAAAGAGAAAATGTAATAAAATATACTTTGGAGAATCCAAGTAAAGGGCATATAAAAATTTTTGTATTATTTTTATAACTATTCTATGAAAATGAGGTTATTTAAAATTTAAAGTGTTGACTCTTGCCAGGTGCTAGAAGCTCATGTCTATAATCCTCACGACCCAGGAAGCTGAGATCTGAGGAGACTGAGGTTCAAAGACAGCTGAACAGGAATGTCATTAAGACTCTTATCTCCAAATAACCACCCCCAAATCAGAAGTTGAGCTGTGGCTTAAAGTGCTAGAATGGTAGCCTTGAGCACAAAAGCTCAGGGACAGTGGCCAGCCCTGAGTTCAAGTCCTATAACCGAGAAAAAAAATTAAAAATAAAAGAAGGGTTAAGTCTAACATTTGCATAACAGCATTTTCACAACTAATTGAAGATGGGTGGTCTTTTTTTTGTTGTTGGTCCTGGGGCCTGAACTCTGGGACTGGGCACTGTCCCTCAGCTCTTCAGCTCAAGGCTAGTGCTCTAACACTTGAGCCACAGCACCACTCCGGCTTTTTTCTTTTTGCTTATGTGGTGCTAAGGAATCAAACCCAGGGCCTCATGCATGCAAGGCAAGCACTCTACCACTGAGCCATCTTCCCAGCCCCGGATGTGTGGTCTTTTAAGAAGCAGCTATAGAGAGAACAAGAGAAGGGTTGACATTGTCCAAAAAGAAATGTACTCTACCTGACTTATATAACTGTAACCCCTCTGCATATCACCTTTATACTAATTTTTTAAATTTTATTTTATTGTAAAGATGCTGTTACAGAGGGGTTACAGTTATGTGAGTAAAGTAATGAGTGCTCTTGTGGAGCACTGTTCCCCCCTCCTTTGTTTTTCTCCTACTATCCCTTCCCTCCCCTACCTTCTCCACTCCTCCCCCACCTTCCAAAGGTGTAAAAGTTCATTTCCAACATAGTGTCTTGTGAATATCCTTGTTGCAATAGGTCTTCCTGTGTCCTTGTTTCAGCCTTTTGTTATTCTCTTTCCCCTCCCCAAATTAGATAGATGTATATACAAGATGCAGAAACAAATATTAAAAAAAAAAACAACTATAATCCAAATTTTCATTTCCTTCCTTGGCATTTCTGATTTAAAAAAAAACTAAGTAATATGAATTACAGTGTAAACAATAAAAATTATTGCCTTTCCAGAGTGCAAAAGTCCTTTATAGAAATTAATAATACCGGGCTGGGAAGGTGGCTCAGTGGTAGAGCGCTTGCCTTGCATGCATGAGGCCCTGGGTTCGATTCCTCAGCACCACATAAGCAAAAAGAAAAAGCCGGAAGTGGCGCTGTGGCTCAAGTGGTAGAGTGCTAGCCTTGAGCTGAAGAGCTGAGGGACAGCACCCAGGCCCAGAGTTCAGGCCCCACGTCCAACCCAAAAAAACAAAAAACAAAAACTTTTCATGTCTGATCTATTTTGTCTGAAGTGGCTATTAAAATACTCTATATACAACTGTCAAAACTATACACACATAAATGAAATGTATGATGTATACATAATAACTCAATAAAGTTGAGAGGAGGAAAAGTTTGTCATGTTACCAGGAATTCCTAAAGTAAGTATTTCTATACATATCAGTGAATAGAAATTGGTTCACTTAGGAAATAAAAATGAGGAAAATTGGGACTGGGAAGATGTCTCAGTGGTAGAGTGCTTGCCTTGCATGCCTGAGGCCCTGGGTTCGATTCCTCAGCACTACATAAGCAAAAAGAAAAAAGCCGGAAGTGGCGCTGTGGCTCAAGCGCTAGCGCGCTAGCCTTGAGCTGAAGAGCTGAAGGACAGCACCCAGGCGCAGAGTTCAGGCCCCACGACCGGACCTCAAAAAAAAATGAGGAAAATTTAAGACATATGCTGTCAACTTAAAATTTTTTATTAAACACCAAAACTATAGAGACAGGCTATCCTCAATGTATATGACAATTAAGATATCCTGATAGTTAATTATGTATAACTGTCACACCAATAGAATCTGGGAGACAGATGTACCTGAGCAGCTGTGCTCTGACACAAGCAGAGAGGCCTATGCTCTGGCTGCTTCCAGAAGTCATATCCATTCCTACCTTAAGCACATGGTACCAGACTGAGGTGCCACCAAAGTCAATGTGGAAATCGGTATAGCTATCGCGCACACTCATAAGACAGTATTTCTGCACATTGGGTCTCTCAAAGACACAGTCTTCTGGCCACAAGTTTTCGACCCATGACAGCTTGCGAACAATCTTTGGTGTCTCTACAAGGTTAGAAAGCCTATGAAGAAAGAAGTAAAGGGAAATGTCAGCTAACAAGGAATTGAAGCCTGAATATATTAAAAAAATTACCCTCTACCTCAGTGAAAATTAGATAAGACATAACAAGGTTTCTCTACAGAATTTCCAAAGGCAAACAGGTCACTTGTTTCTGTAAGACTATCAGCATCTTTAATCTACTAAGTCCCAAAAGTCCCAACTTCCAGCTACACAGCTTTTCCCAACAGAAGATGGTCATTTTCTCCAAGAAATGTTTATATACCTGCCTCAACTTAACCCCTACTGCACCCATCTACTAACAAGCCAATAAGTTACTGTATCATCTCCATCTCATAGTGACCTGTTTATGAGGAACATGGAGAAACTTCTCTGGATTCAGTTCTAGGGAAATAAGTGTTTCTCTGAAACATCCAGTTGTACTTATTCTTATATAAAACTACAAATGTAACCACATTGCAGTCTCTTCTTTGTTCCAATCTTCAGGAAATTCAATTAAAAAACACTCCAACCATGCAGATATTCACACACGTACTTTATGTGTACAGTAACTACCAGCTAAATCCTATTGTCCCATTTTTATTTTCCTTTAATTCTAATTGTCTTATTCTCCCAGTTCAGCATCTCCATTAGCTACCTCAGATGAGGTAAGGCATAAGCTTGTTTTTAAACAAGTTGTTTACATCCTATACCTTAGAAATAACAGTAAGGATATCAGTATTGTACTATAATTAAGTAAAATGCTCCCTAAATGATAACTGTGGGAAACTGGCTTACCAGTACACAGAATCAAGCCGGACACCAGTGGATTACTAAGCAGGTGAGATCTGAGGATTGTGGTTCAAAGCCAGCCTGGCAGGAAAGTCCGTGACACTCATCTCCAATAAACCACCAGAAAACCAGAAGTAGCACTGTGGCTCAAGTGGTAGAGTGCTTGACTTGAGCTGAAGAACTCAGGGATAGCGCCAAGGCCCAGAGTTCAAGCCCCCATAACTGACCCCCACCCCCCAAAAAAAGAGTACACAGAATCTTCCTATATACTATTTTTTGTAACTTCCTATGACACTATAATTATTTCACAGTTAAAAGTGTGAATTATGGGCTGGGAATATAGCTTAGGGGTAGAGTGCTTGTCTAGCATGCATGAAGCCCTGGATTCAATTCCTCAGTACCATATAAACAGAAAAAGCCAGAAGTGGTGCTGTGGCTCAAATGGTAGAGCACAGAGAGGCTTAGGGACAGAGCACAGGCCCTGAGTTCAAACCCCATGACTGGCAAAAAAAAAGTGTAAATTATCAGACCATAAGCTTTTTAAGGGCAAAAAGATACATAAATATATTATGATTCCTTGATATTTACTACAGTTGTGAGCACAGAAAAGGTTTTTGTGGATATATGCTGCATTTTGTGTACATGTAATTTTGAATCTAAGAAATTCTCAAAAACACTAGGATAACCTTAGTGAATCTATTTCTAGGGACAGAGAAGTCCTAGCAGTTTGACAGTGACGATGCGACAATCTAAATACCAGAAAAAGATTTTCTCAAAAGCTGTCCTAGGTCTTGAAGGAGACATACATGAACAAAAATAGATACAGGGTAATCTGTCCAATGTTAGATACTAGAGAAGAAATATGACTCAGTTGGTATATTAGTAGGTACACTAGAAAATATAAGCCAGTATCTCATCCCAAGGAAGAAACCACCAGAGGAAAAAAGGAACAAAACATTCACTAAGTACGCACGCAGGCAGAGTAACTCATGCCTGCAATCTCATCTATGCAGGAGGTAGAGAGCAAAAGGATTATAGTTGGAGGGCCAGTCTGAGCAAAAAGTTAGTAAGAACTCATCTTAACCAACAAGTCAGGCATTGTTGTACATGCCTGGATTGCAGCTATGGAGGAAAAATAATAAGGGAGCCTCATTTAAAAACATTAGGACCCTATCTGAAAAATAAAGCAAAATAGGGCTTGAGGCATGGCTCAAGTGATTAGTAGAGCATCTGCCTGCCTAAAAAATGTGAGGCCCCAAGTTCAAACACCAGTACTGCTCCTCCCCCCAAAAAATATACACTTACTTTATCAATCACATGGCCCAGACATTTTAACCTTTGTTGTTACCCCTGTTTCCTACCTGGTATCAGAGAATTCCAAACTAATGACATTAAGGACTTTCTCTCTCTTTCCACTGTAATAATATTTCACAAAATCACCAAGCTTCATCTTGCAATCGGCTTGACGGGTCACATCAATCACATCAATCTCTTTGTCAGAACCTTAAAAAGAGAGAGAGAGAGAGATGGGTTCTGAACTGGGAAAGAATGAAGGGTAACATTGTCCCAGAAGAAATGCAGTCATTACCTGACTTAAGAAACTGCAACCCCTCTGTATATCACCTTTAGAATGACAGTAAAAATACTTTAAAAAGAGATGGTTCTGTACCAAGTAATGTGACAAATGTGAAATGTTCTCCCTTCACTAGTCTCTTAGAATGACTTTATACTCAAAATTTCTTTCATTTTTTTATTTTTCAAAGAGTGGGTTTATTTCAAAATTGTAAAGATATATATTATTTTTATTACATATAATAAGCAACTTTAAGATATAAAGATGCACTTTTTTTTTTGAGTCTGGTCATGGGGCCTGAACTCTGGGCCTGGGCACTGTCCCTCAGCTCTTCAGCTCAAGGCTAGCGCTCTACCACTTGAGCCACAGCGCCACTTCTGGCTTTTTTCTTTTTGCTTATGTGGTGCTGAGGAATCGAACCCAGGGCCTCAGGCATGCAAGGCAAGCGCTCTACCACTGGACCACCTTCCCAGCCCAAAGTTTCACATTTTTAAAGTTAAAAAATATCTTAAAAATGCAGACATTTTAAGAAAACGAAGCAAGCTGAATGCACCCTGCAGCACAGATCTATCCCTTAAATATTCACACTTCAAAAGCTGTTTTGGAAAGATTGAAAAACTGGGAAAATTATTTACAATTGGCAATGATTAGGAATCTCCCTATCTTTGGAAGCAGGTTAATGACAGAGTAATTGCAGGCCACCAGCATGAGTGGTTTAGGTGGTGTGTGCATTCACCAGTACAGGACAGGGTCTTCAGGTCCACGCAGCTGGCTCTGGAATGATTGACGGCTTTGTCGGGAACTGTGTACTTCAGACACAGCATGTCCATGAGCACTATCTCAAACACAGTCTATCAGCACACCAATGTTTCCATCCTGTAAAAGCACACTAGGACGCTCAGTTTAGGAAAGAAGAGCAGCACTTAAGAACAGCATCCCGGGTCTAGGAAGGTGGCTCAGTGGTAGAGCGCTTGCCTTGCATGCCTGAGGCCCTGGGTTCGATTCCTCAGCAC